AAGGAAAAGGTTGACCTTGTCAGTGAAGAGGCAGGCCTAGGACGTACGGAACTGCCCGCCATGACTGCTTTTAGTTACAGTTTAATGTCAGACCATCCTTTGTGGTGACTTCAGGTCTCTGAGTTTGCACGCCTGCCATGCAGGCCTCCCCTGAGCTGTCAGGTCAGCATGTGGCCCCTTTGGTCCACAGCCTCACGCAGGCAGGATGGGAATAAACGCTCGCAGGAGCCACCGTCTCTGCTGCATCCCAGCCACCAGCGCCCTGGGTTGTCTGGCTTCACTTGGACCCCACGACTCTCACCCAAACCCCAACCTGACGGGAGACGGGCGTGCCACAGCCCAATGGCAACAGGCGCCCACGCGGGTGGGCGGGGCCTCGCGTGGGAGGGGCGAGCGGGATTCGCTGGTGGGCGGGAGATCCGCCGTGGGCGGGAACCGCGTGGGGATTGGGCCGGCGCGCCGGAAGTGCTGTGTGGGGCCTCCAACTCGGGGCGGCCGGGCACCCGGAAGCGCTCGCCCCTTCCGTGTGTGTCGCTGGTGCGCAGCCGCCGGGACGCGGGGCGGGCTCCGTCAGGGCCCCGGGGCGCAGCTGCTCCTGCCGTTCCCGCCGCCGGAGGCGCCGCGCAGCGCGGAGGGCACCATGCGGCTGGGCTGCGGGGCCTACGCCGCCGGCTGCGTGGTGATCGAGGTGCTGGGGGTCGCGCTCTTCCTGCGGGGGTTCTTCCCGGCGCCCGCGCGCCCCGAGCCCGAGCCCCCGGCGGCGCCCGCGGCGCCCGAGCCCTTGGCAGGTACGGCCCGCTCCGCTGCGGGCCCTCGGGCGCCGGCCCCCTGGTGCTCAGGGAGTCACCGCAGATGACGACGCCCGCGGACCCCGCGCCCTCCCTGACACCCGCCAGGCCCCTGGCACCGTCGCGACGCCCGCCCGGCGGGCCCCTTTCTTGGTTCTCCCCGCCCGCAGCCCCCGCCGGGGAGAGGCCCCGCTCTGCCCAGGTCCGCCCCGCGGAGCCGCCGAGCGCGGGGGCAGTTGCTGGAAGCTGCCCTTCCGCAGCGAAGCGCGCGCTCGGAGGGCCAGCGCCTGCCTTTGCCATTGCAGGGCCCTCGCCCGGAAGGGACTGCGGGGCCAGGGCTCGCTCCTCGCCCTGCTAAGGGCGGTTCATCACTGGGTCCCGGGCTCCTGAACTCCGTGGCGGGAGCCTCCCCCCCCCCCCCCCCCGGAGGGCACTGTTTTCCCGGGTTGGCAGGGTAGGTGGCAGAAAAATTGGGGCGAAACGGGTCATAGGTGATTGGATGCTAAGTCACGTGTACAGTTCCATTTTCTTTTTTCTTCAAACCCTTTTAGGAGCCAGTTTCCAATTGGACCGAGCGCCCCCCCGCCTCTCTTCAGGAAAGTCGTTATTATGCTGATCGATGCCTTGAGAGATGATTTTGTGTTTGGGTCAAAAGGTGTGAAATTTATGCCCTACACCACTTCCCTTGTGGAACAGGGTGCAGCTCACAGTTTTGTGGCTGAAGCAAAGCCGCCTACAGTTACCATGCCTCGAATCAAGGTAAACGGTTTAACATCGTGTTTTATAAACCACTAGACGCCAGATGCACGAAATTCATGCAAGGCGCCCAGCCCTCGCGGCCCCTCCCAGCCGGGCTTTGTCCGGTAGGACGTCCAGATGGTTGTTCTGCTGTTCGGTGTAATTAGCACTTTAGCTCTTTAGTACATAGGATGGTTTGGCTCTAAGGTTTAGAGGGCTCTGTATAGTCTGTTACTGTTACTTGTCCACATTTGAAATGCATTTGGTGCCGTCAGCCTGGCTGGGGCAGCAGACGGACGAAGAAGCCTGACAGATAAGGTAGAACTGAGACCACAGTTTGCACCCCTTTTCAAGTAGCCAGAGTTCATGCTTCCTGGGCGGCATAAAGGACTGGAAGCCAGACATTCCAGGCCAGCCGAGTCTCAGGGACGCCATCCTCCTTGCTCCCCTGTTATTTTCTCTACTTGCCATTAGGTCAGTTATAACCCTGGAAAGGCTTAAGGGTTATCTCGTTCAATCCCTCGACTTTACCGATGAGAAGGGAAACGCAGGCTTGCCCCGCACTGAAGCGGACAGGGACTGACCCCGCAGGGTCTGGCCTCCCGGTTCTCGCTGTGTCTGCTGTGTAACCTGCCTGCAGGTGCTCGGCCTAGTGAGTGTGGCTTTCAAGTGCCTAGTGCTTCACCCAGGAACTATGGGTAAAGAAAAGACTAAAGCTTTATTAGGGACCACTTCCGAAGGAGGGAGCAGGCTTGAAGTACCCAAGTCACGAACTGGACTGGGGACTGGAGCACAGGCTGCCTGGCTCCAGAGCCAGGGTGTCCCGAGGCGGCACACGGCAGCACTGCCGAGCAGGTGACTACGACGGGTCCTTCTCAGAAGGCAGGAAACCTCCCTTCCCACGGCCGTGGCAGCCACGGGAACCTCCAAGGACATGACAGACGGAGTTCTCCCGTAACCCTTCCTCGGGCCCCACTGCAACTCGGTCGCTCCCTGCATGCTCCCTGGGGTGACAGCCCAGAGGGTAAGAAGAGTTCCACAGGGCAAGACATTCCAGTGTCCGTTAAACTTGTGAAAAGATTCTTTTTACTTTACTAGTAATCATAGCAACGCAAATTAAAACCATCTGCAAGGCCAGATTTTGTCTGTCACCTTGTAAAAATTTAAAGATTGATGATAACCTACTCTTCACGAGAAAGGAGGTGAACAGGCATCTTAATTCTGAGACTATAGCTGGACTGAGCCACCGCCCTCCTCCAGTACAGTGTGGTCTCCAGCTCTTGACTTGGTGCCCCACACTGTGCCTACTCACCCAGGCCTCATGGCGGTCATGCCCGTTCACCGCCCGCTCGTCCGAGCTACTTTCCTCTTTCATGATCACACATAGCTTGGCTCCCATGCACACTGCCCTCTGGCCTCAAGCCTTTGCAGTTACTGTGTCTCCCTAGGAAGGCCCCAACTCATCTCACCTAGACAACACTTCAGTCTCAGGTCTCAGCTCAAATGGTACTTCCATTGGAAGCTTTTTAAAGAAAGTATCCATTAAAATGGTCTTGGTTAAATATATTGTGCATTCAAATATTGGATGTAAATATATTGTACATTCAAATACTAAAAACATAGCCCCGGCTGGTGTGGCTCAGTAGATAGTGCCAACCCTCGCACTGAAGGGCCGTGGGTTCGATTCCCGTCAAAGGCACATACTGGGTTGCAAGTTCCATCCCCTGCCCGGTCGGGCATGTGCAAGAGGCAGCCAATCGATGTGTCCCTCTCACGTGTTTCTCCACCCCCCTTTTCCCGTCTTTTTTAAAAAAAAGGAAAAAAATATCCTCGGGTAAGGGTTAACAAATATTTGTGTGTGTGTGTGTGTGTGTATATATATATACACACGCACATAAATTTATATGTAGTTTTTATAGCTGTTAAAAAAAAGATGAAGTAGCTATTTGTTTTCTGGGGAAAGGAATCGGTGGTCTGTTATTAATTGGAAAACAAAACCAAGTTGTAACATTATTTACATAGTTTGTTACCATTTTGGTGAAAAATGTATCTTTGTATAGTTTTGGTTGTACACCTACAGAAGAAAGTATGAAAGGGTGCTTACCAAAAATAATCAGTTATCTTTAGGAAGTAGAGTTTGGGGGTAAGAGAGAGGCTCACATTTTGAGAAATAACTTTAGCCCTAGCTGGTTTGGCTCGGTGGATAGAGCGTCAGCCTGCAGACTGAAAGGTCCCAGGTTCGATTCCAGTCAAGGGCACATGCCCAGGTTGCAGGCTCGATCCCCAGTGGGGGGTGTCCAGGAGGCAGCCAATCAGTGATTCTCTCTCATCATTGATGTTTTTCTATCTCTCTCTTCCTCTCTGAAATCAATAAAAATATATTTTAAAAAAAGAAAAAGAAATAACTCTAGCCCTGGCCAGTGTGGCTTGGTTGGATGTCCTTCCTCTGCACCGGAGGGTCGCTGGTTCAATTCCTGGTCAGGACACACGTGCTGGTTGTGGGCTCCGGCTGAATGTCTCACTCTTACCTCTATTGCATCGAGCTTATGGAAGTCCATTACACTTGTCTTCATCTCTCTAGAAATCAATAAAAAAATCTTAAAAGAAATACCTTTATGGAGATAGGATTTTTGTCCAGTCCAGCACATGCATTTGTATGTGTATAGTTGGACGAGACGTAACGGGTGTATATCCATGCCCCTCCTCCACTGAGATCGACCCTCACCCAGGAGTGGGGGCTGTCGCCGCTGTTATTTTGTGTGTGTGGCGTGACCGGCCTGAACTCGGCCTGGAGAGTGTCTCCCTGAGTGCAGGGCAGCTGATGTCTGAGGTCGTTTTTCCAATTCTTGTTTTTAGTTTTAGGCTAGTATTTCCAGGGGCCACTCAGGGTCAGCACAGACTAGCGATTGCTCAGAAGTTGTGCATAGAGACCTAGTGTGGTGAGGCTACCACCCTTCGCGGGGTCGTGTGTGGACGGGCCACGTGCTCACTGGTCAGGGACAGACGCGTCCGCCCTGACTCTCACTTTCTCTGTGAGGAGGCCTTCTGTCCAGCCAGCAGGAGCTAGGAAGTCAGCCCTCCCTCTCGGGTCTCCTGAGGGTCCACGCAGCCTTCCAGGTGCCAGAAAGAGGTGGAGCTGACGGGGGCCACTACACCTGTCTCATTCCTCCAATCCCCTTTCAAAGTTTGGGCTGGTCTCTTCCCACAACCAGCATGGCGCCTCGGGCAGCTGTTGACGTGGCCGTGCCATGGATGCCATGCCCTTGCGTGGCACTGTCCCCTGGAGCCAGCTCCAAGTCGAGGGCCCTCTGTCCTCTGTGCCTGCAGCACAGCCCCGTGAAAGCGCTGCGGGTACGCACAGAGCTGACTGAGACAGAACTTCTCAATGGATTGTCTGTCCTTGGTGAGTTTTCCGAGTCCCCAAATGGTGGTTTTGACAGTTTCATCCAGTGTCATCTTGCTCTTGGGGGGAGAAGATTGGGCGAGCTGGCATGCGTTCCAGACGCCCAGTCAACGCACATGTCCATTTGCTGTTGGAGAAGTCTTGGCAGTTGCCCCTTGGGTGTGACCCGATTCCTGTTGATTGGCATTGCACAGGCCGGGACACTTGTGCTGTGGGTTGTTGGGAGATACAGACCACGGAGACCGCGCCCCATCGATGCGGCCTCTTGGACTCCGGGCTAAAATGAGGGAGGTCACAGGAAGGTGTGAAGATGTCACACCCCCTCCCTCTCCCAGAAACTGGGGCCATGTGGTGGGGGCGGGGAGGGGTCCCCACCAGCACACCTGGGCCAGCTCTCGGGGAACCCTGAGAGGTGTGTGGGAGCTGCTCCTGCACTCGGGAGTGGACAGTAGAGTCTCTGGTTTGTGAATCGGGACGTGGAGTTTGCAGACTTGAAGCTCAGGTGAGAGCCTGGCCGTGGGTGTGAACACAGGCTTGCGTGCACACCACCTTTCGTCGCTTGTTTTGGTTCTTCTCTGGCTCCCTCAGCGCCTCCTTTGTCCTCTCCTTGGGGTCTGAAATGGGGTCAGGTGTTCACGGTGCGGCGTTCTGGTTTTGCCAGAATCTGCGGGTAGCTTTCCCCGTTTGTCGTAGGACCGACCCACCCTCGGTCCTGGGGATGCCCTACTTTATGCTGGTGTCTTTCCTCTGTGCAGGGGCCAGCACCCCGCCCCTGCTGCACTTTGGACCCCACAGTCTAATCCGAGAGTGTTCCCTCCTGCAGGCATTGATGACAGGGAGCCTCCCCGGCTTCGTGGATGTTGTCAGAAACCTCAACTCCCCCGCACTGCTGGAGGACAACGTCGTCACACAGGCAAAGGCCGCTGGGAAGAGAATCATCTTCTATGGAGACGAAACATGGGTGAAGTTATTCCCAAAGCACTTTGTGGAATATGATGGAACAACCTCGTTTTTTGTGTCAGATTATACAGAGGTCAGTGTTTAAAATAAGAAACGTAGATCCTACCAGGTGGAGAGGCAGCGTTCGTTGTAGTGGTGTTTGCTGCTCTATCGGGAGGGTGTGGAGACAGTGCAAACGTGGCTCACTCGCACCCTGACAGCCAGGGGCGTGAGCCCTGGTGCAGGTGTGAACACGGCTCTCTGGAGCCCACAGCCTGGAGGCTGAGCACCGATTGGCAAGTGTCAAGAATCCAGAAGGGCTGCCCAGCCAGGTCAGGTGAGCTGGGTGCACAGGTGAGTGGGGACGTCCCACAAGGATAGAGTGGTGGCAGCCTCTGTCTGAGGCCGAGCCCAAGGATGCCACACTGCCTGGGGCTCCGAGACCGTTGGTCCCTCTGCAGCTGGGGCAGTGTCGAGTGGGAGGCACGGGGTCGAGGGCAAGCTGGGTGGGTGGTCTTGAGGGGCATCAGCTGGGAGTGCCGCTTCGCCAAAGGGGAGGGGTGATGAGAGCCCTTGTTGAAAAGTTGAGCCTGGGTGCAGAGGGAGACCCTCAGGGCAGTGGCACCGCATGTCTGGACTTGGCATTAGGGCGGACAGCATTGCACCCCCTCACCTGGCCGTTGGCTAACACAGATGCCCTCTGCTGCCGTGGCCTGTGCAGCATAGCAGTGCTGGCCAGCGGCAACTGGGCCTCCCCATCCTGTGTACGGTCACTCAGAGACTTCTCTGCCGTAGGCTTTTCAGTGGGAGGGAGCTGGCCAGCAGAGGGGTCGGGGCTGACCAGGCTAAATGGCTCTGTTGGGGGCTGTGGACAGCTGGTCACAGAGTGCTGTCTCCTCCCTCCCAGGACAGCTCTCATGCTGGTCACTGGAACCCTGAGCACTGTCCTGTGCTCACTGCCCCCCCTGTGTAACTGGGTCCTGGGTCCTTGCTCAGTGCAGCCCTCGCCGTGCCCACAGAGATGTTCCTGCAGCAGACCTTGCTTGTCCCTCTGTATAACAGTCTGTCTGCAGCCTAGGGGTGCGAAACGATGGCAGTGAAAGTCTCATCTCATCTGATGTTTAGTTCTTTGTGGCAGTTTTAATTTTTTTTCTTGGTCTTTTCAAACTCCCACTAGTCCTGTCCCCTACAGTGAGCCCTGTGATGTGTAAGGACACAGCACTTCCCTGGGCAGTGACGATCTTGCTCTTCCTTTGCACTTTCCCCTTCAGGTGGACAATAACGTGACGAGGCACTTGGATAAAGTATTGAAAAGGGGGGACTGGGATGTGCTGATCCTCCATTACCTGGGGCTGGACCACATCGGCCACATTTCCGGGCCCAGCAGTCCCCTGATTGGGCGCAAGCTCAGCGAGATGGACAGCATCCTGATGAGAATCCACACCTCGCTGCTGTCAGAGGTGAGCTGCGCTTCGGTGGGTCTTGGGCCAGGAGGTGCTTGTGCCCACAGTCCCCAGAAAAACTATAGCCCCACGTGAGCTCAGGTGAGCTGAGTGAATGTCACACCCACCGTCCCTCGGCAGCCTCAGCCGGCACAGGTGCCACTGCGAGCTCACCTGCCTGGTCCTGCCTCCAGTGGCTGTGTCTCCACCATCACCATCCCTCCCGCTCCTGCTTCCTGAGTGCCTTCGGGACGCTGAGCCTGTCTGGGTGTCTGCGGGGTGTGGGCTCCAGCCAGGAGGGCAGACAAGCAGCACAGTGAGTGCGTCAGGGTTCTTTTTAAAATATATTTTTATTGATGTCAGAGGGAGAGAGAGAGAGAGAGAAACATCCGTGATGAGAGAGAATCATGGATCGGCTGCCTCCTGCACACACAGACACTCCCCCCCCCCCCCCCCCACTGGGGATTGAGCCTGCATCCTGGGCATGTGCCCTAATCAGGAATCGAATCGTGACCTCCTGGTTCATAGGGCGACACCCAACCACTGAGCCAGGCCAGCTGGGCTGCATGAGTGTTCTTGAAGGTGACGTGCCACAGGACAGTGGGGGCAGGAGGAGGGAACCGCATCTGAGGGGCTGTGGTTTTCAGCAGCCTGGGCAGAGTAGTCACAGGAGATGTGAGCAGAGGCTGGACAGGAGGGGCCGATGTGCCAGGCCGAGAGCAAGGGCGAGCTGGAGCCTGCCGGGCACATCCTGGGCAGCGAGGGCATGGCTGGAGCCCCAGGGCAGGAAGGTGGCTGCATGTGACAGATGGGGACACCGGGCGCGCAGAGCCATGTGCCTGCACTCTCACAGCTCAGAAGTGGCAAAGAGGCCCGGGCCCGAATCCTCTGCCCCGAGAGGCCCTCTGTCCAGTCCCACTGTGCTGTGTGACCTCCATGTGATTCTGCTTGTTTCATACATGACGCTATTTGACCTTGACCCTTTGATCTGACTGTAAGCTCATGGGTAAAAGGAAAAACCCACTAATTTAGAAAGCACTGTTCATGCAGCTAGAACCCGACGTGGGTTCCTAGCGAGTACGTGTTCCCGGTGTCAGTGCCGCTGAAACGGCCCCTTTGCCTTACAGGAGAGGGAGGCCCTCTCGCCCAGCCTGCTGGTTCTCTGTGGCGACCACGGCATGTCCGAGAGTGGGGGCCACGGGGCCTCCTCCCTGGAGGAGGTGAACACCGCGCTGCTCCTCGCCAGCTCTGCGTTCGAGAGGAAGCCCGGTGAGGACCAGGCATGGCTGACATGCTGAAACCATTTTACTGCTGTGTTCTGTCACCCGATATTCATTGTAAAACTGTTTTTGGAAGCTAAGTTTGAAATACCCTGAGCAATGGCAGAATGAAAATTAACAGGGCAAGGGGCAGTCAGGATCAGGAGTTTAGATTTCTTGCCCTGATTATTACAAGTATCCTTTGTGGGAATTGGGTTGTATGAATGCCACTGCCTGGATGCCTGGGACTGTTAGTAAGAATGTCCTGTAGCTTAGCGACTTCGGAGGCACATCCATGAACTGAGAAACATCAGTACTACGTTCCCTGAAAGTGCCCTGTTAGAAACTAGAGGTAGAATAGCCGTGTCAGTAGGAGTCACCCGACCAGTCCGAGCAAGATTCACTGAGGACTCATCTGTCGTCACGGACACCCAGTTCTGCACCCAAACACACGGCCCCTCTGACCCACCCCCTGCCTCAGGCATGGCCGTCTCCGCCACCCTCCCCGTGGGCCTGCCTTTGCCCCTCGCTTCACTTGCTGTTGTTTCTGTGGCCTCTGTGGCTTCCTCTCACAGTTCCTTGCCATCACCCAGCACTGTTGGAGCCAGCCTTCCAGTGAGCGGGTACAGGGCACCGGCCTCTGCACCCCGCCACCCTCACTCGACCACAGCAGGGCCTCTGCACCCCACTACCCCTCACTCGACCACAGCAGGGCCTCTGCACCCCACTACCCCTCACTCGACCACAGCAGGGCCTCTGCACCCCACTACCCTCACTCGACCACAGCAGGGCCTCTGCACCCCACTACCCTCACTCGACCACAGCACGGCCTCTGCACCCCACTACCCCTCACGACCACAGCAGGGCCTCTGCACCCCACTACCCCTCACTGGACCACAGCAGGGCTCTGCACCCCACTACCCCTCACTCGACCACAGCAGGGCCTCTGCACCCCACTACCCCTCACTCGACCACAGCAGGGCCTCTGCACCCCACTACCCCTCACTCGACCACAGCAGGGCCTCTGCACCCCACTACCCCTCACTCGACTACAGCACGGCCTCTGCACCCCACTACCCCTCACTCGACCACAGCAGGGCCTCTGCACCCCACTACCCTCACTGGACCACAGCAGGGCCTCTGCACCCCACTACCCTCACTGGACCACAGCAGGGCCTCTGCACCCCACTACCCTCACTCGACCACAGCACGGCCTCTGCGCCCCACTATCCCTCACTCGACTACAGCAGGGTGGCCACCGGGCGGAGTGAGAGCCCTGCACTAGAAACACTTCTTCCCAGCATTGGCTCGTCCTGCCCAGGTGCCTGAGCTCCTGGGATGGAAATGGCACCACGTGAAAATGTCTCACAAACACGTGTTCACGGACGTTCACAGCAACATCATTCATGAGAGCCAAGAAGTGGGAACCCAAGCCCTGATGAGATGGCTGAACGTGGTGCGTCCACACAGCAGATCCCACCGAGCAGCAGGAAGGAGTGAGGGTGGGCCGTGCAGCAGGCTGTCTCGGGAGGAAGAGGCCCGTGTGCGGGCAGATGGCCTGGAGGGCTGCGGGGCGTGTGTTTCACTTGTTGACTTTAAGAATAGTTGTTTCCCGCAGACTTCACTCCTTTTGTTCATTGAGTCAGTGTCAGTTTTAGAACATTTCTGTGAGTGGGCCCCACCACTCCCACCCCCGCCACCACCCCCCACCCCTCCAGCAAGTTGTGTTTCTGTCGCTGTTAGATTTGCGTCTTCTGGGCTTCGAATCCAAGGAGCCCTGGGCGGTGGTCTTGTGGACAGGATAGCGGGCCCTGCAGTGCTGCTGAGTGACAGCTGTGGTGTGGGCACGCGTCCATTTATCCGTCCGTCCGTGGACGGGGCTGTGAACATTCGTCAGCAAGTGTTTGTGAAGACGGATTTTCATATGGTGTCTTTTAAAAAATGTATATTCTTATTGTTTCACAGAGGAAGGTGGAGGGAAAGAGAGATGAAAACATGAGTGATGAGAAAGCATCCCTGACGAGCTGCCTCCTGCACGCCCCTCCCTGGGGAGGGAATCCACAGCCTGGGCCTGGGCCCTGAGCGGCGAGGCCTGTGGTGTCATTTTCCTCCCTCTGTGCTGTTGCTGTCCGGTGGCGTCTGCAGG